AAACAGGCAATGTGACATTCTCATATTCTTCATGTTAACTGCTATTATTTTGTTTCCCTCCAGTCTCCTGCTGCGAAGCCCAAGTGGTTCAGAGCCCCGAGTCGCTGGTTACTGGGGAAGGGAAGGTCTCCACCATGTCCTGCTCTTTCACCAGCGCTTACCAAACCTTCTACTGGTACCAGCAGCTCCCTGGGCAAGGGCCGGTTCACCTGCTCACCGCGAGCTCTACTGAGAATGTCACTGTGGGTCGGTTCCTAGGCGAGCGCCTGGAAGATGGGAAACGCAGCTCCCTGCACATCACCGACTCCCAGCTGGGGGACTCAGGCAGCTACCTCTGTGCGGTGAGAGCACAGTGACACAGGCAGAGCTGGGCTCAGGGCAAAACCCCTCAGTCTCTGACAGGCAGCTGGGCCGAGGAGATGCAGGGGCAGATCCCCGGCGGGTGAAAAGCAGTGTAAATCCATGGTAGCCAAGGGGACTCATCCTCAGCTGTTATAAATGGGCAGCGCTCCAGTGGAGTCAATGGGCCATATCATAAGGCGCTGGGGACTGGAACGCAGGTCTGCAGATCCCGGGACAGCTGTGTGAATAGCAGCGTAAATCCGGAGTCACTCCATATGTGTTCTTTGCGGTGACTAGATCACAACAAATCCGAGACACAAGTTCATTTTCTTTCCTCTTCTTCCTACACGACGGTTTCTAAAGGAAAGTTCATTACTAAACATAACCAGTGGGAAACCATCTTCCCTTAAGGGAGCGAAATGGAAAATATCTCTGGCTTCAAAGCTGTAAGATCATCCGCGTTTCAATAGCAACAATAAACGAACAAAACTAACCTAGCCCCACCCCCACTCCCCTTCCTTTAGAAACCGCGACTCCGCTATGGAAGCCAGAACTTCTGCTCCCCCGTCTCCCTGTGCAGCTCACACAGAGCCCGACAGAGGGCGCTGCCGCACCGACAGGAACGCTCCAGAAATGAGACACTTTCTGGAGTTTCTAGACACCTAGTTCTCTCTCCATCTCCTCCCCACTCCGCACCCCAACTCCTCCCGGGCTCTGCCAGACTTTTTACCAGCGCAGCGGAAAGGCAGCTACCGACCAAGCACAGAGAGATTTGATGCTTGACGCCAGGAGTCACAATTTAATTCGGAGCGGAAGCAGCGTTCCCGGATTCCTTCAGCCCTCAGAAGACAGAGGTCGGCTTCCCTCTGCGAGGAAAGGGCCTAATTCGTTTCTTCTGACATTGCTGGGGGCGGCGGGGGGGTGCCTGAGCGGAGAGAAAACGGAGCCGCTCCGTGCAGAAGCGCAGAGACACCGAATCTTCATGGAGAGGATGCTTAAAACCCTGGTCTCCACGCTTGTGCTGATCCTTGTTTTGAGTGAGTCAGATTCCCACGTGGCATTTCTGGGCATTATTCTCCCCCCCCCCCCTTAAATTATCAATTTTCACCTGTGTCCGGGTGTCCTTTTCGATGACACTTCACGCTGCTGCAGTTGATAGTTTCCCTGTCTGTGTCTGGGGGATTTTCATGCTCTGTTGTTATTATTTTTTCCTCCCAGGCGGAGAGGTGGACGCGAAGGTTTCTCAGCCTGCTGCGCTGTCTTTCCTAGCGGGGGGCAGGGCTGACCTCCCCTGTAACCACAGTGTCGCTGCCTACGACAGAGTTATTTGGTACTATCAGAGCCCCGGAGCTGCCCCTCGAGCTGTGATCTCTGGCTACAACTCCGCGGAGACGTCGGAGCGGTTTGAACTGTCCATTGACCCCTCCAGCCGGTCCGCTCCGCTGCGCATCACCAAGGTGGCGGTGGAGGACTCGGGGGTGTATTACTGCGCCGTGAGAGGCACAGCGAGAGGAAATGCAGGGTGAGCTGAACAAAAACCTCCCCGACTCTGAGGGTCCTGGGCAGGAAGAGAAGGGAGCTCAGATAATCAAATTACAGGCTGGGATCCTCAAAGGGGCCAGGAGAATGGGCATGAAACTCCAGTGAGCAATAAGCACCCAACTCCCTTGGGCTCGTTTGGAAATCTCTATATCCAAAGCGACTCAGGTAATTACAAGCCTAATTGCTATTGTCTTCCAATAAAAAGAAGGCTCTGAAGGGTCAAATTTGCAAAGGTATTTAGGGACTTAAAGATACAGAGAGGCACCAGGGACCAAATTTGTAGAGGTACTTAGGTGCCTAAAGAACAAGGAGCAATGGTCTCAAGTTGCAGTGGGGGAGGTCCAGGTTGGATATTAGGAAACACTATTTCACTAGGAGGGTGGTGAAGCACTGGAATGCGTTACCTAGGGAGGTGGTGGAGTCTCCTTCCTTGGAGGTTTTTAAGGCCCGGCTTGACAAAGCCCTGGCTGGGATGATTTAGTTGGGGATTGGTCCTGCTTTGAGCAGGGGGTTGGACTAGATGACCTCCTGAGGTCCCTTCCAACCCTGACATTCTATGATTCTATGACCCAACTCCCTTTGGCTTCCCTGGAAGTTAGGGGCCTAGCTGCATTTGGAAACCTCATTAGGCACCCAGCGTCTGAGTCTATGGGCTCCCAAATACTGGTTTGACCAGAGCATCAAGTCAAAGTCTGGGGCCCTGTGGATGTCCCTGTTGGGAGTAGAAATTACAGTCATAGGTTAGCAAGGGCCATCTACTTTAACCCCCTGCCAAGGTGCAGGATTTGCGGGCTTGGTAATTGTCATAAATATAAAGGGAAGGGTAACCATCTTTCTGTATACAGTACTATAAAATCCCTCCTGGCCAGAGGCACAAAATCCTTTTACATGTAAAGGATTAAGAAGTTCAGGTAACCTAGCTGGCACCTGACCAAAAGAACCAATAAGGGGACAAGATACTTTCAAATCTGGGGAGGGGGAAAAGGGCTTTGTTTTGTCTGTTCTTTGTCTGTTCTGTGTGCTTGCCTGAGTCAGATCAAGGAAGCAAGCAATCCAACTCTTATAGAGTTAGTAAGTATGTAGCAAGGAAAGGCGTTAGTTTACTTTTATTTTGGCTTGTGTTTTCCTTTGTGTAAGAGGGAGGTTTATGCCTGGTTTTGTAACTTTAAGGTTTTGCCTAGAAGGGAGATCCTCTGTGTTCTTGAGTCTTTTGTTATTCTGTAAAGTACTTACCTTCCCGATTTTACAGAGGCGATTCTTTTAGCTTTTCTTTAATTAAAATTCTTCTTTTAAGAACCGGATTGATTTTTCATTGTTTTAAGATCCAAGGGTTTGGGTCTGTGTTCACCTGTACCAATTTGTGAGGATATTATTCTCGAGCCTCCCCAGGAAAGGGGGTGTAGGGCCTAGGGGGGATATTTGGGGAAGGTAGGGCTCCAACTGGCCCTCCCTAAATGTTTGTTTAAATCACTTGGTGGTGGCAGCGTTACTTAATCCAAGGTATCAGAGAGAAATTGTGCCTTGGGGAGTTTTTAACCTAAGCTGGTAGAAATAAGCTTAGGGGGTCTTCATGCGGGTCCCCAGGTCTGTACCCTAAAGTTAAGAGTGGGGAGGGAACCCTGACATGGTGGCAGAGCGGTGGGATCATTTTGAACCAAAAGCCCAGTAGAGTTTTAAAAGGACATTCCCCCTCCCCCCCTTTTGGCTGTTTAGAAAACAGATAGAGATCTTATCTCTCTTTGCCTGAAGGCAGAGGTATCAGGTCCTTGTAACAAAGGGATGTTTTAAGCTGTGAGCAGCTGGAGATTTTTGTCTCTGCCTGAGGGCAGGGTAGTTAACTTTCTACAAAGGAATTCACAAGCTAGGTTTTTTTTTCCTTTATAGCTCTCGGGTTAGGCTAGTTAAGTACAAAAAGCAGGAACATGACTACCAGTAAAACAGCTAATAAACTACAGCTGGCAAGACTGGAAGCAAAGGAGAAAGAGAAGGAACATAAGAGACTGATCGAATTAAAACAACTAGAAATTAAGGCACAGGAAGCTGCCCACGAGAGAGCCCTGGAGTTACAAGAAAAAGAGAGGCAGCATGAACTGGAGGTAGAGAAGGCAAGGGCTAAGCAGAATGTACCAGACAACCCTGGAAATCCTTCTCCAGGTACCGCGTCCCATCCCAGAAAGTTCCCCACCTACAAGGCAGGCGATGATACCGAGGCCTTCTTCGAAAATTTCGAAAGGGCCTGCCTTGGATACAGCATCCCTCCACCCCAGTACATGGTAGAGCTGAGACCACAGCTCAGTGGACCTTTAGCAGAGGTGGTGGCTGAAATGCCTAAGGAACCCATGAACAATTATGATTTTTTTTTTAAAAAAGGCCAGAATTAGAATGGGGCTAACACCTGAGCATGCCCGTCAGCGGTTAAGAGCCCTAAAGTGGAAACTGGATGTGGCATTTTCCCGACATGCCTACCACATTGAAAAAAATTGGGATGCCTAAAGATCAGGAGCAAGTGTTAAATCTCGGGAAGATCTGTCTTTCCTAATGAAAATGGAGCAGCTCCTAGAGGGTGTTCCTGAGGAAATAGAAAGGTACATCCTAGATGGGAAGCCCAAAACTGTAACCGAGGCGGGGGAGATTGGAACCAAATGGGTGGAGGTGGCAGAAAAGAAAAAAACTAGTAGCAGTTAGAGCAGATATCAGAAGGGGCAACCTGAAACAAAACCTTACCACTGGGGGCAGCCCAAGGCCCTACCTACATCCCAAGGGAAACCCCAAACACCTTATCACCCCACCACACCCGTCTCCAGCAACCCACCTCGCCCCAGTGACCAGTCAGCTGGGCGATGTTTTAATGTAATGAGCTGAGGCATGTGAAGGCCAACTGCCCCAAGAACCCCAACAGACTGCAGTTCATTACACCGGAGTCACACCCAAGGTCCTCAGGCCCAGATGCCTCCCAGGTACCCTCAGAGCGAAGGGAAACTGTGAGTGTGGGCAGGAAGAAGGTTATCGCGTGGAGGGACACTGGAGCACAAGTGTCAGCTATCCACTAGTCCTTAGTGGACCCCCCCAACTTAATCAACCCAGAGGTCCAAGTGACAATTCAACCCTTCAAGTCAAACTCCTTTGACTTGCCTACAGCCAAGTTGCCTGTCCAGTACAAGGGCTGGTCAGGAATGTGGACTTTTGCAGTCTATGACGATTATCCCATTCCCATGCTGCTGGGGGAAGACTTGGCCAGTCATGTGAAGCTAGCCAAGAGGGTGGGAATGGTCACTCGCAGCCAGGCTAAGCAAGCCTTCACACCTATCCCTGTTCTGGAGCCTTCCACCAGGGCCCCGTCTGTGTTACCAGAGACCCAGACTGAGGTGGTGGAACCGGACCCCATGCCAATGTCTGCGACAGCAGTAGTGGATCCAGTCCCAGAGACCCAGACAGAGCCAGTCCCAGAACTGGAACCAGCAGAGTAACCAGCACCAGAACCATTATAATAATAATAATGGGGGGAGGGATAGCTCAGTGGTTTGAGCATTGGCCTGCTAAACCCAGGGTTGTGAGTTCAATCCTTGAGGGGGCCACTTAGGGATCTGGGGCAAAATCTGTACTTGGTCCTGCTAGTGAAGGCAGGGGGCTGGACTCGATGATCTTTCAAGGTCCCTTCCAGTTCTAGGAGATGGGATATCTCCATTAATTATTATTATTATTATATATATAACCATTGCCAGCACTGAGTCCAGCGCTTGCAACCCCGTCTACAGCTCCAACACCAGAGGGCACCAGCGAGCCTGCACTGGCAGCAGCAGTAGATAACTCTACACAAGAGGCTCAGCCAGAGCCTGAAATACCACATAGTGCACCAGCGGAGAGCGGTCCAGAGTCAATGGAAACAACCCCAGCACCTGCATCGCTTCCAGAGGGACCAAGCCCGAGTCCACAATCCAATGAGGAGCTGATGTTTCCAGCATCAAGGGAACAGTTCCAGGCCGAGCAGGAAGCAGATGACAGCCTTCAGAAAGCTTGGACGGTGGCACGGAGCAACCCACCGCCTCTCAGCTCTTCTAACCGATCCCGGTTTGTTGTAGAACAAGGACTTTTATACAAGGAGACTCTTTCTGGTGGACACCAGGAAGATTGGCATCCTCAAAGACAGTTGGTAGTTCCAGCTAAATACTGGGTAAAGCTCTTGAGCTTAGCCCACGATCATCCCAGTGACCATTCTGGGGTGAACAGACCCAAAGACCGTTTGGGGAAGTCATTCCACTGGGAGGGAATGGGCAAGGGCGTTGCTAATTATGTCCGGTCTTGTGAGGTGTGCCAACGAGTGGGAAAGCCCCAAGACCAGGTTAAAGCCCCTCTCCAGCCACTCCCCATAATTGAGGTTCCATTTCAGCGAGTAGCTGTGGATATTCTGGGTCCTTTCCCGAAAAAGACACCCAGAGAAAAGCAGTACGTACTGACTTTCATGGATTTTGCCACCCGATGGCCGGATGCAGTAGCTCTAAGCAATACCAGGGCTAAAAGTGTGTGCCAGGCATTAGCAGACATTTTTGCCAGGGTAGGTTGGCCATCCAACATCCTTACAGATTCGGGAACTAATTTCCTGGCAGAGACCATGAAAAACCTGTGGGAAGCTCATGGGGTGAATCACTTGGTTGCCACCCCTCATCACCATCAAACCAATGGTCTGGTGGAGAGGTTTAATGGAACTTTGGGGGCCATGATACGCAAATTCGTAAATGAGCACTCCAGTGATTGGGAACTAGTGTTGCAGCAGTTGCTCTTTGCCTACAGGGCTGTATCACATCCCAGTTTAGCGTTTTCACCATTTGAACTTGTGTATGGCCATGAGGTTAAGGGGCCATTGCAGTTGGTGAAGCAGCAATGGGAGGGGTTTACGCCTTCTCCAGGAACTAACATTCTGGACTTTGTAAACAACCTACAAAACACCCTCCTACACTCTTTAGCCCTTGCTAGAGAAAACCTACAA